CCCCAACATCCTCCTCTGTCTACGCGGTCTCGTGTCGTTATTTTTTTATTCACTCTCTCTCTCTCTCTCTCTCTCTGTTTTGCTGTCCTGGCTTCTAGACGTCCTAGATACCTCGGCGGAGATACACTTTTTGTTTGGTTTGGATAATTAACAGGTGCTGCTCCAGTACCACCTCCAAACTGGCAAAACAAAATCGGGTTATGGCGAGAAATTTTCTTCTAGAAATGTTACTATCATTGCAACTGACTTAAGTCTTGTCAATGTCAAAGTTGTCATTGGCTAGTGCTCAACTTATCCGATTCTTGTAGCAGTCATTGGTTCATAAGTTGTTTGCGAAGGTTTTATTACGATGACCATTAAATTAGGACCTCCATATCAGGTAACCTACCATGTTTCGGGATTTTGGTAAGTTATCGGTTGTAAATAATCATTAACGTGAACAAATAGCCTCTCTAATGTCCTCATTTTTAATTCTCAACTGTGTATTTCTAAAAGAATTGTGCGTTTATCTCGAAAATATCGGTTTTTTTGTTGTAGAAATGCTACCCCATCTGAGTCCCCAAGCCTGGTCGGTAGTTGAGGATAGCTGTCAGCTAGATGTCGAGCCTCTCCCAAAGACGGTCGATGACATTCGAAACCTGATTGAAAATCAAAATGGCAACTCTGATGACATTCCAGATATTGACTGCGAAGGCGCCAATAAGGCTCTTCTTCGAGTTCGCGCGGGTGAAATCGTCTACGTCTTGAGCAAGAAGTAAGTTATATTCTAAAATCAATTCGAATTTCGTTCGTTGATGTAAATTTAGGTAACCCCTTTATCAGAAATATATTGAAAATATATTGGCAATTCCTAAGTATCGAGTTTTATTGATCTATTAATTAGTATGCTTGTGTACGTTTGCAGAGATCCTGAACTCTGGAAAGTGGTGTCCCACTCAACTTGTCAAGTTGGATACCTACCTCCAGATAATCTGAGAATGATCCCAACAGAAAGCTCTTCTCTCAAATCTACTGGTAAAAGTCAACACCAAGGCTCCAATGGTCATACTGGTGGTACTCTATCTCGAATGCGTCTTCGATTCAGTCGTCGTGGTGAGTCATGAAGAGTATTCTGAATTGAACTTTGCGAAGATGATTGATCAATATAAGAAATAACCAGTTGATTAGTGCTTATCAGTTTGAAGAATAAACAACCGCTAAATTTTACTCATTACCAATGGTTTGGCATATTTCAATCATACCTAATATGAACAATTGAATAATCCACCTACTAACAACTTCATTATAGGCTCAATCGAACCCGAGTCTTACTCGCAAGATGATGGAGGACGTGAGTGCTGTGCATGCTATTTACAAGCCTCAAGTAGCCACTACTACTCGCGCTTATCATTAGCTCTCAACGGATTGCATGGTTTACTACTACTAGCGGATTTCAGTAGCATGTCTGGTTAATTGGTGCATACCTGATTGCATCTATTTCCACCTTAATACCATTACTTGAGCTATTTGATTGGAGTTGCTTACGGAATGTACTGGTTTTACCTCCGTTTTGTAAGTCAGGTACTTGATGGAGTCTTTTTGCCCTATAGTGGGGTAAATGTGATTGGACGGTTTCGCACAGATTAGGTGAATCACCCCTCAAAGCCATGAAGTTTCGTAGACAGTCGATAGGCCGGTTGACTAATGGCAACTAATCGATGAATTAATTACAATGATAATTCAACGGATTGGAACAAAGGAGAATCCCCAGATGTAGGACTCTGGGGGGGGGGGGGGGCGTGAAGTGACAAATAATGAACAAGAATTTTATTCTTTTTTGGGGGGTTGGGGAGTGATTAGAAAACTTCACTAAACTTTAATTTCTTTTTATAACCTATAAGTGCCAAGAATCTGACATGTGAGCGATGATTTTAGAGAGTTTGGACATAGCGTGATTTTCTATCCTCGTTGCAGTCTCCCTTAAATTCTCAAACATTAGAAGAAATTGTGTTTCTTAACGTATAAACATTCGCGTTTTTTGGAGAGGGGGGGGGAGGTCGTTTATATTTTACAACAACAACAACCAATACACAAATTTGTGCTATTTACTCAGTGGTCATTCAGTGAATGATTCACCTCTATTATTGCCGCATTACTTCGCTAAGTTTCTTAGCATTAGGAAAGCCCAGTTTATTTGTTTTCAGATGTCGCCTATTACTTATCGTGGGGTTTTTTTATTTTTCCTTTAGAATCGAAGAATTCACCAAAAGGCGGGAGGAGAATCAATCGAGACTTGATCTCCCTACCACAAAATGATTTCCGTCATGTTGGACACGTTGGTGGGGATGGAACCATCTTCGGTGACGTTGGCTTCTCTTTGGACGATGTGGATGAGAGCAATAATAAGGGTGATTTGAAATAATTTTACTGAAACCGGGGGAGTGAGGGTGGGGGGCGGGCTAAAGTCGACTTGTTTGTCTAATAACTTCTTCCATTGATTTCAGATCTGAGTCCGGCTGACAGTTGTATGACCATCGGAAGTGCTTCAGACAAGGAAAATCCACGACTCTCTGACGCAACCCTTGGCGAAGTAATCAGATTCACCTATTACAAGTTCCTCGTTATCCTTTCTTAAATTGATTTTAATTTATCTTGTACAAATCGTTACTACAAGGCCGTGAGGTATAAATCAGAGTTCGAGGTAGAAGTCATTCTCTAATGGGCCTTCCGTCCCACAAATCTGCGAAGCTATTACGAGTTCACTTAATGTCACCCATTTATTTCTTCATTTTTATTCTTTATTCTTATTCATAATTGATAAGTCCTTATGCGAGTGATTCATTGGTCGGCTTGGTGTTACACGAGCCGTTTTAAGTAGAAGGGTTTATCCAACACTTTCGAGGTCAAGTGGGACATCCACTCAGGTCGTTACTTCATTGGCATTTGATTGTTGACCAACGCACCCGACACAAGTCAAGTCCCAATTGGCTAATTAAATGTTCAGCAAGTGTGTAGAGTGTAGAGTGTGCGTTTGCCTATGTTCGCACTGCGCACACGGATGCATCTGATTTGAAATTAATGTGTGCCCTGCGATGATGGTGCTAACGCGATGTCTGTGTGTAGGGTGATTCAGGACTTCATTTATCCATTGAATGCTAGTTAATTTCTCTGCCCTCTCCACCAATTCAGATCGTGGATTTATAATCATTTTTACACTCATTATCCCTATTTCAGCGATCAAGTAGAAGATCTTCTGCCGGAATTAAATCAGTATCACCAACACGGAATATTTCATCGACTGTGAACGGGACTAGCAACGGAATTAAAGCATCTTTGAGCTCTTCATCAGTGAATAATAACCTGACTTCATCGGCTGTTCCATCGAAGCCTCCCTCCTCGTCTCCACCTCCTCCAACGAATTCAGCTATGGATACTGGTTCTTGGTTCACTTCTGCGTCGACAGCCGATGGTGGAGTTGATGACCCTCAACCTTCGGTGAGTTCATTTTTGAACTTTCAAAACCAAAAAAATTATTGATTGCGATTTAATGCATTAGAAGTTGAATAGAGGCCTCAATTTCACCCTAGTCTGAACAACGTGTTTATGCTGTTGGTTGCAGCTTTATCTTCAGCTTAAGGGACCATTCATTGATCTTTGTTTTTGTTTTCGCTTATTAAACCCCGCGCAATGCCAACTGCCTTAAATTCGTCGAGTTTCAAATAGCAAACACAACTATACCCTATTTCCACTTAGGGAGCATTTTTGAATCCTGTATTTGTTCATTCCGTGAGTCAGGAAATCGTTTGTTTGTTTGTTTTTTTTGGTATTCATTTTATTGGAGTAGTTTTCATTCCCCCTTTTATTTCACTTGGATACATTTCTGTTCGCTTGTTCTTTTTGTAAAGGTATCTTTTAGCCTGCCGCATTGACTACTTGGGTGGAAATGATGTAGCTTATGATAACAGCTCCCAAGCCCCCATTCTGGAAATCGTTTTTCTTCACCCCCCAAACTTTCTTCATGGTAAGGTGTATGGTGTGCGTCATGCAATCATCTTTTTGGTGTTTGTGCGAACCCCTTATTCTATAATTGAAGAGGGCAGGCGTTGGTATTTAACGAGAATTGCATTCGGTAACGAGTGTGCGAATGATTTCATCATCATCCAGTGAGTGGCCTATTCGATACTAGTTTTCAACTTAAAGAGTTGTCGAATAGTCTTGAACGCTGCGCTGTCTCAATTTTCAGTTGATTCTTCTTGTGGTTGTTCCAAACAATTACCACTCTCTTTCTCTCCTTGTTCTTTTTCAAGACTCGATTTCAAGACTCGTTGGGATTTCATTGGTGGTATAGAGATCGTCGATTCGCGGTAGTCATGAGAGTTAAATTTTTTGACTCACCGCCATTACAGTAATTAAAAAAGGCTAAACTTCTGGATCGGTCAAGACTAATCAGTAGACAAACTAAAGAAAACAAAGCCTCTTTATTGACTATATTCCTCCTCTGCCTAGAAGCAGGTCTGAAGTACCTCCTTCAAGGGAATAATCCATTGAGTTCAGTGGACGTTAGTGGTGCAGCAGTCAGCATATTCGTTTTTTGAGGGGTAATTGACCTCCATGACACAAGTTAATTTACTCTAACCCCAGTGGGTTTAATTTACCCACTACTTTCTATTCCGAACCTCATGAAATAATCCATTTACTATTTAATTCATTTTATTATTAAGTAATGTCTTCTTTGTTTACGCTGCACCCAACTTGCAGGCATCGGCAGAGTGTGTCTTTTCGACTCGCATCACGGCATTAAGAATGCATATCGTCTGCCTAGTGGGGTGGGGGGCGGGGGGCCGGGGGGCCGTGGGCGGGGGGGGGGGTCGGGGTTGGGGAGAAAAGACGAGTAAATAAATTCCGGCTTCATTCCGAAAAGAATAGTAGTGGGAAAAAAATATCTCTTTTTTTGTCAATTTGTCATGGCATTTGGGGGCTACGCTTTTATGCGGGTATTCCTCACGAAATGGGACTGGAAGCAGATTTGCTATGGTCGAGGGTGACTGTCTAGCACTTTCCAAAATAACGCTTTAGTCATATTGCAATTTTTTTGCTTGTGATGTCTCATTTAACGGTACACCTGCGTTCCCATCCTCACTCACCTCCTTGTCCAAATGGCTCAGTTGAACCACCTTTGTATTTCTACTCAAGTTTGTGCCCCGCTCCGCCCCACTCCCCCACCCTTTCTCTCATTCTCATGGTTCCTCATCGAGGTGGTTTCAATGCACTTTGACCAACAACTTAAGCTCTTTTATGAAGAGGGAGAGCTTATTTTGAATAATCTGCTATTGCTGACTACAGAGAGAGGGGGGGGGGGTTGCAAGGAAAGAGCACATCCTTCTTCCAGGTTGTCATTCCCTGTGACTCAGCGCCCCCCCCCATTCTTCCACTTCCTCTCCATTCTCACCCCCTCCCCCCCTAAACCGCAGCATGGAAATGTGAAAATTCCACCAGAAGGAAAAAGTTATGAACACATACAGCTGCATGCAAATCTCCCATGAAAATCGCTACTACTACTATTGGATGTAAAGGTGTTTTTATTTGTGCAGTGTACCTCTGGCTTGGAGAGAGAGAGAGCGAGAGAGGATGGGAATCCTGCTAAGCATTCGCCCCTTTCAAGATTATTCTGCGGATTCTGCCAGAATAAGGCTGTGTCATCAATAGTTCTACACTGAGAACGGACAATGGCAGCGTCCACCATAAAACCATAGATGCGAGAAATTTAGGCCATTGGAAGAATAGGAAGAGGCTCAATTTGAGGGAATTTTAAAGGGCGAAGTTTCTTGCTTAACTTTAAGCTATTTGTACCTGTTGATGCTAGGTGGCAATCGGAGTCCACGAAAATCTATACCCATTGTGGAATATTCAACGCAACTTTCATTACGTGAGCAGTAGCTTCACTATGCATTCAGCATGGGCAATTCTTCAAAGGCTTTGGAAGTCATCAATTGGTTAAGAGCATATGCGGTTTTCTTGTTGAAACTTCAAGATTCACTCTTCGATTTAAACAAAAATCCTTTTCGCTTTTGTTTATTTGCCCTATTTGTTACAGAACAGGTGGAAAATACAAAGTGTTAACTTTCTCTATTTCAGATCCTTGATATGGGTTCCTCATTCATGGACGAAATTTTCCAGTGTCTCTCTGCCAAGGCGGATGTCTTGAACCTTCTTGATTCTGCTACCACCGTTGCCAAAGCAGAGACAAATCAAGCAGTATCGACGACTGTTGAACCGAATGTTACTGGCTCGAAGCCACCAAGACCACAGCAGCAGCAAACACTTCCTTCACAACCAGAGTTGGAAACCAAACGGAGAGAGGAGAAACAAACGTCGCCTTTGCCTCCTCCAGTACCGAAACCAGCTCGAAGTCGTGAGGTGACCCCGTTGGAAGATTCCAACCGCAGTGTCACCAATATAGCAGGTTCTTCAAAACATCTGAACGCTGATCAGACCAATAGGTAGGTATCACTTCTTATAGCATTAGTGTAAATTAGCATCCATCCCGGTATACTAGAACTACTTTAAGAGTTTGGATAAATGCGTCTTTGAAAACCTTTTGCGAAATGATTGATCTTCCTTAATGATGGTAATAAAAAATCGAATATGAAATCCTATTTATTGGTCAACTGGAAATCAACGAGAGTAGATAGGGTTTGGAAAACAATTAGAAAATGGGCAAAATATCTATACTTGAGCGATTGGTAATTGGGACCCTAGAGGCAGGCTAAGCATTCACTCTCTGTTATAATTAGGCGATCATCGTGATCGTCTTACCGACTCATTACCGCGTCAAATGTGGAAATCATGTGATCATTGTGAATTTGAACTAAATGTCGATTTGCTCATTGAATTAAACGACGCTCTAATCACATCAATAGGCTAAATTTTAGCCGATTGGACAAAGGCTAAAGATATACCAGCAGGTATTTATGTAACTTAGCAACCGAGTCCAGAAATCGATACCTATTATAAAAATGATCAACGCATTCTTTCAATCATTATCTACGCAATTTGCCTTACTTTTATTAGAGTGGCAAACAAAATGAAAGTCTTTAAATAGTTTAATTAAAGCGTATCACACTTACATGCTCATTATTAATACATTTAAACTGCTCATTAGTATTATAAGTAGCAATAGGTTGTTAAATTTGCAGCGATTTGGGTGGGGGGTGGGGGGGGGGGTTGGAAGACTGAAGTGACGTAAACCGTAGAAAAAAATGGATGCTTCTACGTTGTTGAGCTTCACAAGATCGTGTGCCCCATAAGCTTATGGGCTGCCTTCATGGAGAGACGTTCTTTATTATTACGCTCTAATGAATGATGGATAGAGTTGGGTTTCGATTGTCCACCAACTTTTATAGAACTTTGCCAAGATGGTATTTGCGTCCAAGACGAAGCGCCACGCTTACGCGCCATTCGACGCTGTGAGTCTCTCTCTCTCTCCTATTGCATGATCTATTCCCCCCCCCCCTCCCTTCCTAACAGCAGCAACAACTGAAAAAGATGAAGATCAGTCGAATTGTTTAATTTTTTGTTCTCTTGATTGGTGCTATAATAGCATGTGGGGGTTGGAGAGCTGTTTTTTTCGTTTGTTGCCTTGTTCTTGTGCGCTTCTGGTGGCAGGTTTGATTTCCGCGCGTACCATTTATCGACTTCTTACCTTGATAAGGAGTGGGGATAGTCAATGTCACCCCAAAACTCCATCCTCGATTCATTAATTTCCAATGGATGGGGGAAAAAATAATGTGAAAAAGATTTGTCAATGAGAAATAGGAAAGCTTATTGAAGGGAAGTCAAGGAATTAGGATGACTCCAGTTCAATTGAGCTCTAGAATCGTGTCAAACACTCTTTGTCAAATCGAGATGTCAAGCTTCTACCTGATTGAAAGGCGTTCGTGTTCTGCCTAATTGTCATAAACTTTCCAGCAACTATTTATAGATATTTGACCTCAAAGATATTGCTGAGTGGCGACTCGCAATGTTTTTGTTTGTATGAGTTGATCATATATTGGTGTTCCGTTCAAAGTTTTCCTTTTCAAATCTTTGTGCACAACAGAGGGGCGTGCAACCACGATTATGGCAAATGAGGATAAATTAAGGTTTTTCTTACCATGGTCATGATTGTCATGGTCCACTCTTCTTCTTCTTAGGAAACCCTGATCGACTCTAGCCTATTCGCTAAGAAAATCCACTACTTGCAAGTGCAACAAAATGACTCAGGCATTATCATATTGATTTACCAACCTAATGTAAAAAATTTAAATCGATTAAAAGAGCTATGAATCGGTAATGCGATGACATTTAGAGGCGAAATTGTGAATAAGAGGCAATCACAATATCTTCCAGACTTCCTCCCCCCCCTCTCTTCCACGCACTTGCATTTTAACGTTTTGTGCGTCTTCTTCCAATTTGTATTCTTGATTCCATCTTGAAATAAATTGGCTATTCAACTCTTGCGTGCTTTTTTTTGGGGGGGGGGGCACTGAATAGTTTGGTCGTTTTTTTTGTTTGGTGGTTTTGAGACGATTGCTCATTCTCGCTTAATTATGACATGTCGGTTCTAAATTCACTGAATAAGGATATTTCTCCTTCTTTGTAAGGTTGATGTGTTTTAGTGGAATGTATGGAAGCATGACTTCACGTCCTCCAACGTAATACTCCAATCAATCTCTTGATGAAGAGTAGTGCTTTTATTTTTTAGCCTTCTGTAACTAGGCCCCAAACCCCTCTGTCACGATTCGATCAATTTATTGATTCTTTTTTTTGGAAATAAACCCGCACTCATACTCTTGCCCGTGTCCTACTAATCGATGTGAGCTACCTATAAGGCAGCCGGGTGTCCTTATTCTAAATTCGAAGCTAAGGTACCATTTATTGAGTTCACTTTCCCTTCGAATTTTTTTACGTTATTTACTTGCATGTATGCGGTTGTGTTTGGCGCCAAAATAACACACACGAATGTGATTGATTTAACCAAGTTCGCAAGTTCAAAAGTGAGCACCGCTTCAGCTTCGTTCCTTTTCCTCCTTCAGCGATTTATATGAACGCTCACATTCAGTTGGAGTCAACGGTAACCCCATGGGCAGCGGCACTTCCCTAATCGACACCACCACCTCTTCCTTGCATCGTGGTCGTGCTGATAACACTCGTAGCTCCAATAGCAATGAAGGCACCCGCGATGATGGAACTAACAATAGTACAAACGCTCGTTCGTTCATGAACGCCACGAGCACTCTGACTCGGGCCTTCAGAAAATCTAGCGCCTCACTCTCTCGCCGACCCGGCAAAGCCTCGTCAGCTTTCTCTCTTGAACAGTCCTCCTCAACCGACAATCAAATGCCACTTATCAAAGGGCCTCTGGAAGGTGGCACGAGAGGAAAGTCGAAGAGGCCTGTCATTAGTGGTCCCGTAATTATCAGCAATCCAACGCCTGGTAAGGAGGTCTATACGTTCTAATCCAATTATAGTTCCCAAAAATAGGGTTCCTTTGTAAGAATTATTTATATCAAATGGCAGGCCTTTTGATAGTTATCATTGGCCCGTTAGCTGACTTCGGGATTCACAGAAGGGAGGAACATCAAAGTCACAAAAAGTGAAGAGGGGGAACAGAGGAGTGATTCAAAGATGTAAAGGAGACAGACAGACACAAAGACAGAGGAAGGGATAGATGAGTACTGTGGCAGGGGTCGAATATGACACAGTCGGATCATGGTAGTTTGAAGTCAACCACCGGATTCTAGATTTTTTGACGTATGAGTATACGCTGCCCAGGGTGCACCACGTGGAGGTAAGTCTATCGCACACCCCATGTAAGCTTCCACAAGATTATTGAGGAACAATTCCAAATAGTCCAATTGGTCAGTTCTTAATAAGGTAATATGATAAAAGCATTGGAATTAGAATGGTGTATAATTTGGAACTTCATTCATTATCGTCCTTGCATTCAACCAACTGGTCGCGACACCTGGCATACATACATACATATATATATATATATATATATATATATATATGAACACATTTCAACGTCAGGAGGTCTTTTTGGAGGGAGGGAGAGAGTTGCTTTGCCACCACCCTGTATATTGCTGAGGCCTCCTATGTAGCTTGCGCCTGTGTTCGCCTGAAATCCAGACAATCCAGTTTCAAGACTATCTGCTCCTCTCATCCAGTGCTCTTTGGGGGTGTCCTTTAGTCGTTTGTGTATTGATTACATAAGGGATTTCGTTTTGTAGTGAGTCATGACCCCGGAGGTCCCCCTTTTCCAAGTTCCCATTGACAGGTCTGCTGTGCCAAGCATTGCAGGATGTTTCATAGTCACCCAAAGAAGAAGTTATCACCTCCATTGAAACTGAGCAATTGTTCTAGGCCTTTCTTGAGATGATGCCCAGGAGTTTAACTTCCACTCCTACATACATTCCATGGTTATTATTATCGGAATTGCATCTCAAATACTCTTCAAACGTTTCCATTAGCACATTTTAAGTCAATTTCAGCCATTCTGCCTTTTGTCCTGCAGAAGTTGGGTAGTAGATAACTAGAAAAAACTGTCCGCCTTATAAATTCGTGCCTCCAGACGAATTTTCCACTATGACCAACAGCTTGACGCTGCAAAGCAGTTACTACATGGGAATGTGGAGAATTTGGTGTAGATAGTATGGCGAAACTGAAGGCGAAAACAGAGCCCCCTGCCCCTAGAGCTATTGTTGACCAGAGGGGTGAATGCTCATTGAATCACCAGTTTGTTGTTGGAGTTAAAGGAGTCAAAATGTGGGCACTAATAAGCCAGAAGCAGTTTGTAGAAACGTGGTCAAGCAACAGACGGTCTCAACTTCGCAAAACAAAGAGGTATAAAGCCAACAATTGTGTGTGGATAGCATCTGCTGTGACGCCACAGTTAAGGTAGAATAGGTTGAGAGAGAGAGAAGGTACTGATAGGAGAGGAAAGGAGTCAAGTGCATGCATCCGTGGAGGAATGCAAAGACAGTTGGCATGAACCACGTTTGCGTTGACACGCATGAGTGAAGATAAGTCTTTTTATGAAATGGGGGGAGGCAGTTATAGAAAAAAGCGGATCGATAATTTGATCTTGATTTGATAGATAGGCGTTTGAGTCAAAGGAATATAAGGGTTTTGGTAAAAGCTTGTGGTGTAGAGATTAATACAAAATTTAAAAATGGGTTGAGTTATCCTTCAACAGGAATCTATTCTAGCGATCGCATCGTTATTCAATAACTATTTCTCTCTGTTGTTTCAGTAACTGGTGTCTCTGTGACGTCCGTTATCTCCGAAGGAACAACCACTGGTGCAGTTTCCACTCCACCTTCCTCCTCTTCTCCCTCACTCCGCAGTGGAAATAGTCGGGGATCATCCATAACAGCTATTTCCTCCCCTCTCTCACTGGGTCAAGGTTCTCAAAGAACTTCCGAAGGTCAGACAACCCCAGTAACCACCACGACTCCCTCAATTTCGCCTGCACCCTCTACAAGCTCCCTGACCACTTCGAGCACTTCCTCATCGAATCTAGGACTCCATCAGCACCACCCTACCTCAACAACGACCGGAAGAATCTACGGCGGACCCCATGCTACAACGACAAGTGCAGTTGGACTCCGTGCGTTGAGAGATCGTGGTGATTTAGTATTCAGGGCTCCGGCCACGGTTGGTGGAGCAAGTAGACGAACGAGAGTTCATCAGGGAGTGTCGGGAGGGGGAGAGTATCAGTCAAGGTACTAATCAAATGTTCCACTGAGATCAATTTAATTTTTATGCATTATTTTCACAATGACTGTGCCTTTGTAGTATGCATTTTGACCATTGGAAGCTTTGCCTTTAGGCTGTAATTTAGCATTTTATTGATCCATTTACCACTCCTTTTTTTAAGCGAAAGAGTGTACCTTCTCAACATCACAAGAAGGGAGACTGGAATGTTTGTTTTGACATTATCTCGCCGCATATGTTTGCTTGCTAATAGGGGTAATATACAGCGCACTACTGAAGATTTCCTGGTTATGGCTTTGTGACAAGACTTGCGTGAGGAACCTTCCGGACAAGTCATTCACCTATCATGACTGACCTTCGTAGGGCTTAGTTAAGCATGAAGTCCTTCATATTGGCCTGTTATTCCACTATAAGGCTAATTGTGTTAGGCTATGAGCGACAGTTCACTTATTTGGTTTTTTCTATCTCAATTTCATGTTAAGCCACTTCATTTGCGCCTTTCTACTATTTCCTATGGCTTAGATCTGGTGGTATCACCTCTAGCGGCACGCTAGATCGAAGAATTCGACCACAGCTGCCCGTATGTCCCGCCACAGTCACCTTACCGCGTCGAACAAACCACTTCGGGTCTGTTTGCTAAATCGTTTGAAAGTCTGTTTGTTGTTGGGTGCATTGTGCGTTTGAGTGCTTGCTTACTCATTGGTGCGCCAACCTGTGATTGATGCATTTTTTTACCTAACCCCGCGCATGCATATTCGCTCTTCATTGTGCGTTGCATGTGCACTCTTCTTATTGGCCTGTTGTGGTGCTGACGTTTGCGTTTGAGTGCGTATATGCTTCCTCATTAGCCAATTGTTTCAATGCAATACTAATTAAACCTAATATGCGCGGATTCAGATTTTGGACTTTTTTAAATCCCAAGGTAGGGCTCTAAAATTTGCTCCCACTTTGCGCTACATTGCATCGATTTTGCCCCTTCATCAAAGCCCTTTGCCTGAGACACACCCTAGAGCCTAATGATGTGCTTCTCTTCATCAACTTTCGAAATTAGGATAGCATTCTAGAAATGGGCACTTAGCTTAAGTACCGTTCCGAAAACTTTTTCAGTTTCCATGGGGTTCTTTGTACGTACTTACTCGTTGGTAATGTCGTCGTTTCATTTTTTAGTATACGGGATCGGAATAATGTAGACACGAATGAGACCAATGGGAACTCAGCCCGAATAAGCTCGTATTCAACGCGAGAACGTGTCATTGATCAGGTTGCAAGCAACTCCCTTCCTTGCCAAACGCCTTCTCTTGTTGCTCCAACTGTTCAGAGTGATAACGCAATCACTACCTCTCCTGCAATAGAAAGTCAGGTTCAAAAGAAAGTGCCATCCCCGACTTCTGAAGGTAGAGACTTCATTGTATAAATTACTCCGTGCCTCATTGTTCTTTGTCCAACCTTCTAAAACTTTCGTTTTTTCTGATTAGTTGATTCTCCAACTGAACAAACGACGACCTCTTCAGGTGCTGGGTTGTCAGATGAACTTCTGAGTTTCTGGGGCTCCGAATTTGCCAGTCTTTTAGGAGGAAATGCTTCCGCGGCGACTTAGAACTCTAATTTGATTGGTTAGTAGCCTTACATTGCCCCGCAAATGAATCTTTTGCTTTAAGTAAAACTATTTTTAAAATCGATTTTTGCCGATTCGGTCCTGCATGTCAGATTTTATTTGTTTCCAAACCACTGTCTGACTACTCCTAAGCATACGTGGTTATCTACCTTGACCTAGTTGATGGAGTAGACTGAGAAGTCGGCGTGGCCTTAACAACTAGGTAAAAATTTGCCAAAACACCCATTTTTAAGTAAGGAAACGTAGAATAAAAGGGCATAAGCGTATGCGAGAATATGGGATAGTTTTAGTATAGGCAGCATATTTGGAGTTCAAGCTTTTTTGCTTGATCTGCTTGGCTTCCTCCCAATTACTTCATTGAAACTCTGGTTGGTAGCTCGTTGAGCTCTCCGGCGTCTTCATGATCGACAAACTCTCTCTGTGTAAATCTTCTAGAATCTTGACTGATTCGCTTTAAGTATTGGTGGATTGAGGTCCTACTTCACTCACCACCATCTTCAATAGCTTTGTCACTTTTCAGTACTTTACTAGTTCATTATTTCACTCCGATTAATCGGGTTTGAGCGTTTCAGCAGAGTTAGTTTCTTGGATTAATGCAGCCGTTATATAAACCGTTCTAATTGCTGACCCCTCTCGAGGGGGGTCATTTTGACTTTGAAAAGAAAGCTATTTTACTGGCTACGATACATCGCTAAATCACACCAGATATTCTCTTTCATCACGACTTGTTACCTTGAATCCGATTAAATTATCTTCATTTGCCTTAAAAGAATCCTAAAAGCGTAGTGCCTTTTTCATTACATGAATGGGTGTTTAGAACAACGACTTGCATCTGACTTAGAGTTCTAACTAACTTTTTGAAACCGGAATTCAGTAGCGATTGGCCCCCTTTTTATGTTCCTGTTTATATTATGTTAGGCAAAGTCGCAAACATGTATTCAATAATCGCTTAAATCCTTGTTTTGAAATTGCTCCAAAATAAGAAGACCAAAACAATGGTTCGCTATTTAGTAGAGATTTGTTGAATATGCTCCAATTGGGAGGCAGCAACCAATAGGGTAGCGTGAAGCATGTCATATGACGTAATATTTACGTTTTCCCGCGGCTTGAAGCACAGTTTCACTGGGTGGG